ATTCTTTTTAATCTTAGGTGTTAAGCAATACAAGTAGTTGATTTTCATTTTTCAAGTACTGTACGTTTTTAAAGTGTTAATTTCTTGTGTTACATGAACAGTTTTGCTTGAATTAGTAGTCATATTTTCTCTTTCTCTCTCCTTTTTTTCCTTCCTTCCTGCTTCCCTTCCTTCCTCTAACCAGATTCTCTCTACATGGCATTCCTTCTGTCTCAGACTCCCAAGTGGGACTACAGGTGTGTGACACCATGCCTCACTCTTTTTTTCACAAGTTGTCACTATGCTGTCTAGGCTAGCTAGTTATCCTAATGTCTCAGCTTCCTTAGAATTAGATGGGCTTTAATGAAGCATCCCCCTCCACAACCCTACAATCCTCCAAGCCTTTTTGTTTGGGCCAGGAGTAGAAGTGGGCCATGGTGTGGTACCAGCTTGTGAGGTAGAGGTGTTTTAACAGCAGGCTCCGGCATGGCTGGGCTAGTACCCATTTCTACTTAATAACTTTAAGGTCTTAATCCTTTCCGAGTGTACAAGGATTTATTTATTATTTATTATTCTATAAGTCTGAGGTTTTGATTTTCTCTAGTATATTTCAAAGCCTGCATCTCATGATTTTAACCGTGTATTGTACTTTATGTAAGAAGTCATATCTGCACTTCCAAGATTATTCTAACACTCTCTTTATTAATTTTTAAGTCACATCATTTAGTTCTAAATTATAGCACTGAAAAATAAATATTTCTCTATTATTATGCTCATGGCAAATAAAATGGATCATTTTGTGATCAATATTTGGCTCCAGTAATCTTTATTCTAACAATCTCTTTATTAATTTTTAAAATTCACATCATTTAGTTCTAAATTATAGCACTGAAAAATAAATATTTCTCTATTATTATGCTCATGGCAAATAAAATGGATCATTTTGTGATCAATATTTGGCTCCAGTAATCTTTGTGTATGGATTATTTACTTTCCTTTAAATACACTCCTACTGGGCTAATATTTTCTTAGGTTCATTTTTGCTGATATATAAAACAGATCATGTATAATTCAAACAAAATGTAATGACCTACACTAATATGAATGTGAGTTTTAAAACATTTTGAAATGTTTCTAATATTTGAGAATATTTGTGAAGTGTTGGAAATTATTCACTTTTAATTTCATTTTGTAAATTTATAATTATTGTTAAACTTCAAAATTGAGAGGAACTAAAAATTATAAAGACTTTTTTCTATCTACAGTCCCTTTATTCAGAGTGACTCTTTTACAATTTATCACAATATTTCTACCTAATATGTTTATACTGCTTTATCTTCACATTCAGTTTTTTTAAATTTTATTCATTATTTTTCAATTTGACCAGAGAGAGACAGAGAGGGAGAGTGAGAAAGCAAGTCACTGGGTCTAGGACTTGAACAATGGTCAGCCACATGAGAGTCCAGCTCCCCAGTCACCATGCCACCTGCCTACTTGTTGACATTCAGTTTTATACCTTAATCACTTTTATTTAAAAAAAATTTTATTTAACTTTATTTACTTTAATTTAACCAGAGAAGGACAGAGTAAGAGTGATAGAAAGAGGAAAAGTGAGAATTCACCCCCCACCCCCGTCCAGGGGAATCGGCATGCTGCAATCCCTTCTCCCCCACTCTCCTCTTGAGATTTTGAGCATGCACACACATGTGCCTAGAATGATTTTCAAGCACCAGGTCTGGGACTCAAACTGTAGTCAGCCACGTGGGATTCCAGCATCTTAGCTACCATGCCACCTGCCAGCTTCAGGACTTATTTTCCTTTAATACTTTCCTTTGTTGATCACTTCTTACAAAATCCCAGATGTTCTTTTTTCTTAGTTTACTGTCTTATTTAACTCACACACAGCTCCCAATACCTCCATAAAAATGAATGCAAAGGAGGTAAAAAAAAAAGAGAGAGACCTTTAGAGACCTTGCATTGTGAAGTTTTCTTGTCATATGATTGATAGTTTGACTGGGTATAAAATTTTAGATTGAAAATAATTTTCCCTCAGATTTCAAAAGCTGTTTCTTTTACTGATTGCTTATATAGTTGCTTTTTAAAAGACCAAGTCCATTCTGATTCCTATTTTATGTAATTTCTTTTTTCTCTTTCTCTATCCTTCTGGAAGCTTTGTAAAACTTTTTTATGGCTCTGAAAATATTTTATTAAAATGTTCACATACCTATGTGAACACATAGGCATGTTAATATTTAGGCTCTCATTTTTTAGTTCTGAGAAATTTTCTAGTTATGTTTAACTCCTAATTTCCTCCCTTGATTCCTTACATTCTCACTTGAACCAGCATCTCAGTTGAGTAGTGGAACTTTGGACTTACTCTATAAGACTGAATTTTTCCTTTCTTATTTTATCTTTGCCTTTTTAATGCATGTTTTAAAACATTCATGTATCATTAATCTGTATACTTCTTTCTTTTTTGGCTAATAAATATTTATTTATTATTTTTATTTTTTAGAGATATTTTTTTTCTATAAGGGTGTGTGCACTTGCCAGAGAGACAGAGAGAGAGAAAGACAGAAAGTGAGAAGTCCCCCCCACCCCCAGAAGGGATGGCAACACTACAATCCCTTCTCCTCCATTCTCCTCTTGGGATCTTGTGCACACATGCACCCAGTGTGAGTTTGAAATGCCAGGTCCAGGACTCAAACCATGGTCAACTATTTGGGAGTCCAGTGATGTAACCATTACACTATCTGCTGTTCCTGATGAATGAATACTTATTTTTAAGAGCTCTATTTTGGAGTCTGGCAGGTGGTATAGTGATCACAGCGCTGGACTCCTTCATGGCCAACTATACCTTGAGTCCCAGACCCGGTGACTTGAAAATAATGGCAAGCCAGTGTACATATATGCCTAAAATCCCAGAAAGAGAAGGGATTGTAGCATGACCATCCCCTCTGGAGAGTGGGTTCTCACTTTCCTTCTCACTGTCTCTGTTTCTCTCTGACAAGCATACACACCCTATGGCAAAAACTTTAAAAAAAAAAAACCCTCTACTTGGTTCTCTGAGTGTTTTTCATGATATCCTGTTCTAGATTTATAAAAGTAACATCTTCTTTCATTTATAATTAATCTATTCTTTTAAAATGTATCATACAAAAATGCATAATTGATATTTTTTTAAAAATTGGGGACCAGCAGTTAGTGTAATGGCTATGTCACTGAACTCTCATGTAGTCTACCGTGGTTTGAGTTCTGAACCTGGTGGCTTAAACTCACACTGGGCACATGTGTGTACATGCCCCCAAGATCCCGAGAGGAGAATGGAGGAGAAGGGATTGTGGTGT